TCGTTCTTATACTTTTCTGCTGGATGGTTAAGACCAAGGTAAAGCAGGACCTATGCAACAAGAGTTATAGCTTTTGGGTCTGATAAGGTCAGTGAAATGCCCTCAGGATTTATCCTGAGATCCTGTACTTCAGATTGTAGAACCTTTGTCAGTGTCAGCCACGTGGATGAGTCACAGCAATTGCTTGGCCAATGTGCTCTCTGTGAAAACCTGAGAGAATGTTTTCTCTCCAGGTGACTCTCCTTAGGCACACTCTACACCATCGATCACTTTCCTCTTTGGCCCCGTAATCTCCTTGATCAGAAAATTTGGGACACAACTGAGTTACATGGTCTTACAGTACAAGTTCTCATATGTCCTGAGTCTTAATTGACCTTGGAAGGCTAGGGCCAAACTGTTAGCTTTCCTTGCAGCCCTCCTTTTTCTCTAATTTTTGGTCTGCAAACTTAGTTTGTTAATCCTCTAGAAGAGAAGCTTATTGTTATTACCATATAATCTAGGCTGTTGAGCTTAACCTCACTATCTGTCTGAATATCAAACATCTTAGGCATGACATGGAACAGATATTTTTCATCAAATATTGATATGTTAAACTTTAAGTCCCTACAGAATATGACAGAAAATTAAAATATATTTAAAAATAAGAATAAAGAATTATATATGTTTACACATAAGTCCAGATATCTATCCATATGCAACAGTGATGCAGGACAGTCCTACAACACTCCTTTTCCTTCCTTCTTTTGCCTTCATTCATCACCCCCTTCCTTTTTAAACAATCATCAACCCAAGAGACAGCACGGCAGCAACCGGTGTGTCATGACAAGCAACAAGTATTCAGAAGACCAGAATGACAAGCACTCCAAGCATGAACCTACTATTACAAATTACCATCTGCAGTGCAGTTGCTTAGTTCACAGGTGTCAGTATATATAGTTAGTCAGGGTGAGAATACTTCCAACTAACTGCTAGATTCAAAAATCTGAAGATTCTCAGGAACATTGCCTTACCCATCTTGTACATATACTGTATGGCTTGCTTCTGTCATATTTCCTAGCTCTTCTCCTTTCCCTCTCTTAATTAGTTAGTCCTCTAGTTCTTGCTTTCCCTTTAATTGTATTATACCTTTCTATTTGTATTTCTTCTTTTGAGTTCTTATAGTAGGGAAACTATATGATATTTACACATGTGTGTCTGGTTT